TGCTGTGGATTATACAATGGTTTTGGTGGATTCAATTGACTTTGATTTCCCAATGACACAAGGCAAAAATCTGGAGGCCTTTTAAAACGAGACTGCTGCAGCCTAGCAAGACTCCCACTGTACCCAGAGACATAGATCCAGATTCCAGTAGGAATAATTGAGGGCCCCATGTCAGGAGTCAATAGGAATCTGAAGGAGGAACTGAGGTCCAAGCTTCCTCTATCAGTTGTTGCTCCCCAAGGGACAAAGATGCCTGTGATGGGGGAGGGAAAAGGGCCACCACTGTTTAATAGGGCCAAGGTGGGCCCCATTGGAAGTTTCTCTGAAAGGGTCGGTCTTCCACATCAGTTTTAGGTCTACACTCACTTGTTCAATGGTACCCTTGTCTACATCTAATACACAGACTGGAAGGGTTTATTGAAGAGACAGATAAAGACTGTGTTCTCTTTGATGCAGCAGAGCAGTTTCGGACTAAATGCCCTTCATTCCTACAGTGGAAACAAATGACCTTACTTTTCCCCTTTTTTGGACTATGAATGAATAACCTGAGTAATAACTGCTGCCAAGGCAGTCCCCTGTGCATATGAGGGGTCTCTACCTGCACAAATATGAATCATCTCAAACAATATAGCCTGATTTTTATGGGCTCTTAAACCCTCTTACACCATTTATTTGCATTTTCGAAGGCCAAGTGTTGAACTATTAATTTGCTAGCTTCTGTGTCACTGATAATCCTCTCGGTAGCTTGCAATGAACCAGTAAAATCATGGAAAGGTGCATCAGGGCCCAGCCTAACAGAAGCCAAGTTAAAGAATATTTCACCCTTACAAAGGAGTTCTCTCAGGCTCTAATAGCAGCTGTTTTAGTTTGCTCATATATTCGCAATGCAAAGGTAAGTTGATTGTGCTAGAAAAACACCCTTTACAATTAGCAAATCTTTTGTAATGGCCAAATTGTGAGCCTCACATTTCCAGCTGCCTGTTCCCTGCAATATTCAAAGAAATTTCCTTTCCACAGTAATCTGGATTCAAACATGCTTTAGCTATTTCTTTCCAATCATTTGGGACCATAATCTGTTGTAGCATTTCTACTAAACTCAAGGTAAAGGGAGCAGTAGGACCATAAGTAGCAACAGCATGTTTCAGTTCTTTTAAGGTTTTAAAAGGTATGGATTCATGAAGACCTACAAATTGTCCTGGATTATTTTCAAGTAGAACTTCAGAAGCAGGGCAAAGTTGTTGAAAACCCTCCACGGACTCCTCTGCCTGTCTGGGTTTTTTCAATGCCAATTGCAAGGGGGACAAAGAAAATGGTTCTATTCCCCTGGAGGCTGAAGTCCCGATCTGTGACTCAGCCAAATTTCCCTGAACTGCCATGGCCAGGACTGCAGCTTATGGCTCCTTAAAACCCATTGAGTGTTTCTTTTTTGCCCAGATTTTAATCATAGACACTACCTTGAGTCTCTAACAAATTTGTGATGCCAAGAATGTGCATAGCCAGTGCCAAGGCCACAGGATACCATGGTCATGACACTCCTACTCAGCACTGGGCACACAAGACTGTAGTTGTGGTACACACCAGCCTCTGTGGTTGGATGGAGCAAACAGATGGGCAGGCAGCTGGGGAATCCCAGCTGGGTCTGCCTAAGACCTCAGCACAGGGGGCCTCCCGGAGCCTAGTTTGTGCCCCTTCCTCCAGCGGCTGGTGCCTCTTCAACCCAATGGTTTGCAATTTAAAAGAACTTTTTCATGTCTTATTTGAGCAAAGTTAGAGGGTTTAAACTCTGTCTGCTGTTTCTTTGCTCTACCCTCCTTGTCCTGTCTGGGACTTGATTTCAAAACAGTATTTCACACCAAGTCCTTCGTGGTAGTCTTAGAAAGTAGCACAAACACAAAAACCAAGAAAGCAACAAACATGTTTATATACATCTACAAACATCTATGGTCCTTGAAATTCTGTTTCTCATTGTTGACTCAATCAAATGTTTCCCTGTTAAGCTTCTCTCAAGCTTCTTTCTCTCTTTGTGCTCCCGTATCTCTCTGGCCCTAGTGAGCCCCATCCCCAAGTTTTATACCTAGTGCACCAGTGCCAATGCACCCCCGTGTGGACTACTGATGGCTCCAAATAATCCTCTTCCCTCCCTTATGGGTGCTCTTTAGAAAGGCTCTTTGGAGGTAGCTGGACCAAGAGTGTGTGATGCTGAAATCAAGGATACAATATTAGGATTAAGGGTGTGAGTAGTACCTGTCCTAAGGGTGGGTAGTCTGGATAAGTGACTGATACGAATAGATACTACACTTGATCTTAGCCAAAAGGCCGAGAAACAATAGCATGGACAAGATAAAAGGCACAGAAAATGATCATCACTTGCTGCTTGCTGCTTGCTGTCGTCCTGCCTTCTGCCTGCCATGAACTGTTTCTACTTGGTGATACCCTTCTGCCATTTCACCCTGCCTGGGCGCGAGCCAACTATGAACTGAAATCTCTACAAGATGTGTGCTACATGAATCTTCTCTCCTTTAACTTGTGGGAGTTAAGTATTTTGTCTCAGCAATAAGAAAAGTAACTAAGACATATCCAGAAATTCTAAATCAGTTGCTTGATTTCCTTGAGGCTATAGCTGTGTTTTTTTTTTTTTGTTTGTTTGTTTTGTTTTGTTTTGTTTTGTTTTCCTAGTATTTCAGTACTTGATGGCACCCAGGTCCTGATTTTTCAGGAGCCTGGTGTTAGTGTACTGTCATTGTTTTTGCATTAGAGAGCAATTCCTTATTTGTCCTGAACACACTGTTATGTTGTTTAGAAAAAACAGTGAGATTATTTAGAGAGAGCAGTATGTCCCCACAAGTCTTCGTTTGGTCAGGCAGGCTTGCATGCTTGGTTCACAGTTATTTGCCTGTGGTCAGATGTCACAGAATACTGCCTGGGTCTGGTTGGAGTCACTGTCGATGTGCCAGCATCATGTGCTATGCCGTATTTGTGCACATACTTGCAGCTAGACTGTGTCAGACCTTGTGCCCATAGTCAGCCAAAACCAGCACAACATTGGAGTAGAACCAAGGCCTACTCAAGAGGTGCCAATTGCTAAGGTAGATTTGCGATATGCTTTGATACTTGCTGGAGTACAATCCAACAGACTAGGGTCGTGTGACTTCCACTGCCACTGGTGCTCCTCCAGGTGTTCCACTTACATATCAATCTTGGAATAGGTGCCATCAGGACTTGCTCAGTGTGCGACAATTTCACCAGCTCAGCACTAAGTTCCAGAGCAAAGTCTTCTGCTTACTACCCTGCCCAACACCCAGCAAATGGGGTCTTGTGCCATACTGTGTTGCCCAAGGTAGAGATAGTGCTGATGGAGGCCATGACATGGCCATTTAAGCTGGATCATTCCTGAGTCTTACAGATACAAGGACCCACACAGTCTTGGGGGTAAAGGTGAGGGCCAGACTCCACCTGCACCTGTCAGTGATACAGAACAAAATAAGTCCATCCCACTAGGCACAGGTCTGTCTCTGATGCAGGAGCAGTTCTGAAACACCATCTATACAAGTTCTGTCTGTGACCTCTTGACCTGTGTATGGGGACTTCAGTTTCTAGTGGATGCAATGTCTCACTGTGGTGGACAAACCCATGTGCTAGCTTCTGTGTCCTACTGTCTACCACGTGAGGTCCTGCTCTCCACTCTGCCACCCCAGGTTGGAGGAAGGGTACTCAAGCCTGTCAGTCATCTGGTCTACCATAGCTCCTATGACTTGGTTCATGAGCATTGGCCTGACAGGTCCTGAAGCTTTGCCCAGCACTTAGAGACACAAGGAGACCCTTTGCTTTCTCATTTAATTTCCTTAGCTCTTATGAAAGTAGTTTGTTGTGTGAACAGCTGTTCTACTAGGTGCATCTGCATGAAGCCATCACTGGAGGATCTCACTCAGCCACCATCCTTTGTTTTGGCAGGGGGAAGGGCATCTTGGAAATCAAACCCAGCCCTTGACAGGTGGCTGGCAAGCACTTGTCAGCTAAGCCGCACCCTTATCCTCAGCTGCCACTGCACCCTGCCTCCCAGGGTTCTTGCGTGGCTCTATTCTTGCTTCCACCAGAGAAGTTCCTCTTTCATCTTTTTATCTTCCTTTTTAGTGGGGTTGAGCATGTTTAAAAAGGTATATGACTGGTTTTTTTTTAGGTTGGAAGCCATTGAGGTAGATGGTATCTAAATATTCTAGCACTTTCTGACATTGATTTTAATTGCTGTCAGAGTCCTAGAAGCAACTTTTAAAAAACTGTTTCCTGAGTAGCAGTGAAACTGCACATAAGTAAATGAGTTCTAAAGTGAAGCTCCTAGTAGAGGTTTATAAAATCAAACAAAAATGTGATTTCCAGCTGGGGATGAGTTCCTGAGAAAGAGCTAAAACTGGCATGCACACTATCAGCTTCCCTCGGCCAGCCCAAGCACTGTGGCCCTGGGCCCCTGGGAAGCCAACCCTGAGTCCACTACAGGACCCTGACTGACCCTCAAAGTGGGACTTGCTTGTTGTTCCTAGTCTAGGGGAAAGTGTCAGAATTTTCAACTATTTTTTCAGAGTGTAAATATGTATAAGGAAATCTACCTGTACTGTATAAAAAAATCTTTGAAATTTAAATCATGTTCCATAATAATGGTCTTATAATGTAAAAAGATTTCAAAAATGGACAATTCTGTTATTTTATATTTAGCTCTGTCTTCTTGCTTTCATTTTACAATATAATCTTTAGAATGTCCCCTATTGCTTTGTGCCTGAGATTGCTTATCTGGAAAATGAAGCACTAAGATCCATTAGACCTCCCATCTAGATCAGAAATTTAACCCTTCAGTATTTGAAAGCTCGCAAATTCTATGAATTATGTGTCCATTTCATGTATTCCTGTTTCTCACATTTAAGGGCAATTGTATTGATAGCAATTTATATACAGAGCAATAAGTAATGCTTAAATACTTATGGAAATTACATTTTTATTGATTTAAAAAGAACAAGATGCTTGGAAATACCATGCTACCCACTGTGAACCCGGCTGGAATCCCTACAATCGTAATTGCTACAAGCTTCAGAAAGAAAAAAAGACCTGGAATGAGGCTTTACAGTCATGCCAGTCTGAGGACAGTATATTGATAGACATAGCTTCGTTAGCAGAGGTGGAGTTTCTTGTAAACCTCCTTGGAAATGGTGAGTACTGACTGCCTTTGACTTAGAACTATGAAATATGATGGGGTGATTGTTTGATTAGTGATATTTCTAAGCAGTATACAGGAATGTGAAGTCATTGGATTTTTACACAAAGTTCAGAAACTTTATAAAAATCTTTACAAATGTCTGGTGTATTAAATGGCTTTTTTAAAAAAAATAAGGATAAAGGTTTTTTATGGAAGTTTCTAATGAACCTAAACCTATAATTTAGCTTTTGGCCTTTAGGCAGCAGTATTGTGTTGTGCTCCTGTGAAGGGAATTTTCTAGATACATAGTTAGATTTGGATCACTGTGGCCAAGACCAATTTGTCTGATGCAGTAGTTCTTAGGCTATGTGTCTTTCTCAGCTATGGATTCCTGGGCCTTCACCACATTCAGTCCATCAGAGCAAGGCTGCCCCTTCTTGTGTCCCATATTTGACATGTAATTCTGCTAAAAACAAAACAAAAACAAAAAACTTTGAATTCCTGGATTTTATTTGTCAGTGTCTAAAAATAGAAGAAAAACAAAAAGAATCCTGACCCTACTTTGATGACCTTTCAATGGTAAATTTTAGTTTGGAATGAAAACAAAAATCTTTGTCATTTTTTCCTAATCCTTTGCATTTAGGATTAAAAGAATACTGCAGCTACCTCTATGTCAGCGAGGACACTTGAACATCTCCCTTGCCTTTAAGGCTCTTGGCCCATTACTCCCATTGCAATGGTTTAAGACTTCCAGTTCCTTTTTCCTTGGCAGAAAAAAAATCTTTAAGCTACACTATTAGTAAAAGTTTAGCTTTTTTGTGGAAATTGGATATGAAATCTCAGAATTGTGTCTAGCTTTGGATTTATGTTAATTTATGGAGTTATTTTGAGAAAAGAACAAAAATGTTTGAAACTGGAGGAGCCTAAAGGTCTTTGAATACTGTGATGATAGAAACAGAGCTCTATCTTTAATTGTAAGAATTTAAATAAAGAAGTTTCTCTGTGCTTTTAAAAATTTTTTTTAAGTTTTTTTTAAGAAAAAAAAAGGCCTCTTTCATAGTTCAGAAGATCTTCCTGTTTTTCTTTCCTCCAGACAGAAGCAAAACCAGGCTTTCAAAGTCTGCTTCACATACTGTAGTAAGACCCACAGTGCCAGGACTCTAACTTGCTTCAGCTTCATCCTGTGTCAGTTTTAGATCACACTGTGCTTTCTTTCACTTGTCTGCTAAGCAAGCAGATCTGGATAAAATAGAAGGGAAAGGATTTCAACTGATGTTTTATAGACTTAAACAGCTTTTATTACATTAAGAAATAAAGAAGTTGCATGCAAAATGGTATATTTTGGTAATAATCTCAGGTTACTGTGACCTTCGAAAAATGTTAAGATCTTGTATGTAAATTATATTTATCTCTTACAGAAAATGCTTCAGAAACGTGGATTGGTTTGAGCAGCAATAAAATTCCAGTTTCCTTTCAATGGTCTAATGGCTCTTCAGTAGTATTTACTAATTGGGACTCACTAGAGCCCCTAATTTTTCCAAGTAGAAGCCAGCTGTGTGTCTCAGCAACGCACCCTGTAAGTTGACCCTTTGTTCAATGTTCATTTATATTGAGGGCCATCTGTATGGGAGACATGGGCCATGGCAGAGACCAAGGCATGCATGGTACAAATTCCTCATGGGACCTTCAGGCTAGGCAGTAAACAAGTACACCCAGAAAACTCATGGACATTGTAGTTGTGAAGAGCACTCTGAGGTTAGAGGTGACTTGACAGTAAGGAGCATGGTTTGGGGCTATTCCTTTAGACAGGGCAGTCAAGAAAGGTGACACTGAAGCTAGAATTTAGAAGTAAACCACTTGTGAACAGAGGAAAGAATACTCCAGGCAGAGGTCAGCTGGTACAAAGAAAGGCCAAGAGGGTAGAAGTACAAAAATCATTTTGGAGGCTACCTATGCTAGGGACATTATGATTTGGGTCACAAGGCTTCCTGTTAAATTAGATTGAGGTAGTAAATTAGGTGGATTTGGAGATTGAGCAACCATCATTTTGGTAAATGGCAGATTCACCATATTGACTATAAGGGGGAAAACTGAGAGTGAGAAGATTACTCTGGAGAGTGATGGTTTTAAAGGTTCATTATTTTATTAACCTTAATAGTTTTGAACAGTATGTGTAACATTTCTGGAAAGTGTAAACCAACGGTAAACTTCATTGTTTATTCTCTCATAAATGGAATGTGCCCACTGGCCTTGACTTCACACTTGCCAGCATTCTCATCTCTTATTTATCTAAAGTATCTGATGATACAGAATTGATTTAATCCCAAGCCACTTAATGGTTTAGTAGCTATTTAAAATAGACTTACTCAAACTGGTGAAAGCATGCACTGAATTTTAGGAGGTTATTGGAATTTTATGGGTTTCCTCATTCCTTCTAACCATTGGATATCATATCTAGTTTCCCCCAAGAAGAGATTCGTTAAATGCTACTTAAGTATCTTGATAAATTTTTGCCAACCAAGCCTGGAAAACTTCTAAGCACTTTCTTGTGATACATTTCACTGTTGTAACTTTTAAAGCTTAAATTATCATATGCAGCTCCAACTACACATGCTGGTACAGTGTTTCAGAGTTATATTTAAGAAAGATTAAGATGACCTTCATCTCCTATTGATGGACACACTTCGCTAAGTGTATTTACTACAGAAGAGCCAATATTTGGATGGGAATTCATTTTAAGAGAATGAGGATAGATATTAATATTATTGGGTAAGTCAGAATAATGCTGCCCTAAGTATATTTTGTAGCCCCTTTTGGCAGCTTAGTAGCTCCTTAAACAGTAGGTGTATAAAAGTTAGCATTTACTTACATCAACTTAGTTTCCATCAACTCAATATAAATGTAATTATTATAATTCACAGGTTACCTAACATAGCTAACACCTAATTTTGTGAACCTAGGGAGCTTCATTTATCCATGCATCCAACAGCTAGTAAGCTGCTTATCATACATTTGACACTATCTTATAATTAGATATTTTGCTGGAAGATTCCATACAGGAGAGACACAGAACTGTTCTTGCTTATGAAGACATAAACCTACAACATGATATGTTTCTAAAGGTCATGGAAGGGTTCTAATTCTCATAAAATCCTGGATATCTGAAAATTCAGTAGTGTGGTGTGAGTCCAAGGTTCTGATTTGTGTTAAAGTTTTTAAAAGGTATTTGGAAAAAAATTTTTAATCTGTTAGCAGTCACTGAATCATTATTAATGTAGAATCTGAGTGTAGCCTTCAGTAGACCAAGGAGAAGATAGCAAAGTATCTGCTTGTAATAGACCTAGTGATAAAGAAAGGCATTGGAGTTTGAATGTGAATCTCAGCCAGGTAACATCTGGGTGTTTCCCCAGCATAAGATCTACACATGGAAGCAGCAAAGCCTTTGATTTAGCACTTATACCAGAGAAAGTAGCATACACAGTGACAGGAACAGGATGACTTGGTCCAGCTGGTTCTCATTCTCCAGATCTGCTGCATTGAAGTCCTCTAATGCCTTGTTAGAGGTACCTCCAAAGCTACTGATTGAGACACTCTGATCGTGAGGCCCAGTCACTCATTTTAGAAATTGTTTTTAGTGATTCTGATACACCCAGACAACTGAGGATTGTTTCTCTAATCTGTCTTTTTTTTTTTTTTTTTTTTTTTTTTTTTTTTTGGTACTGGGTATCAAACTCAGGACCTTGTGTTGGTTGGGCAGGCACTTACCCTGCTGAGCTATCTCCCTGGCCTTCTAATCTACCTTTTTAAGAGAAAAATCGAGAACAACTTAATGCAAAGCCAGGCCAACTGTGTTATCAAGCCTTGCTCCAATATTTTCCTGACCATGGGACCTTAAACCAGAGCATTAAACCTATCCTTTAAAATAAGAATAACAATTGCTTTCTCTTGGGAATGCTCAGATTATTTGAACATCACCCAACATTAGGCCTACTGCATAGCATCAAATGAGATGTACCCATTGTTTCCTCTATCCTGTCCCCTCGATTTGGGACGGCAGACATTGCAATTGTCACATGCTGTAGAGTGAGTACCCCACCCCCACACCCTTCCACGGAGAGAGTGCCAGCCCTTACCACAACCAGACAGGAGCCTGAAATATTACCCCACTGGAAATGCTTGTTATTAATTCCATTTGGCTCACAATTATTGGAATTGCCCATTAACTTGATCATGAAGCATATTAATTCATCTTGTAACACTTTTCTTGTAGGAGGGACACTGGAAAATTACAAAATGTGAAGAAACACTTTTTTATACTTGTAAAAGAGCAGGCCATATCCTTTCTGATGCAGAATCAGGATGTCCCGAGGTAAGTGTGCAATGCTGCAATTTAGGTACAGAAGGTACAGAACTAGGATAACACACCCACCACTGATTAAAAGCAACTTGGCCTCCCCATCTTCTGCTCACTCTTCTGTCCCTCTCTTTTCCCTTCCCTTCCTTGCCACCTCTTTCCTGACACATTTTCAGCCTAAGAGTGAGCTGCATTTTAGAAATGGAACAATGATCATGTGGAGGTACCGGAACGACCCAGGGCCCTGAGAAGGGTTGTTGCCTTGCTGTGCTCTGTGAGCCAAGGGTACTTTTTTAAAAAATTAAAAACTATAAATGATCCTGTTATACCATCTGTACAAACAGCAACTGTTCCATGTGATGCCCTTGCTCACATGTGGGTTTCATAGTTCTCAAGTGGGAAGTCACCGAGAAAGCCAACCACATGCCTGGAGTCAGAGAGTGAGCTTCTGCCCTCAGCCTCTTGACTCCCTCTTCACCTTGCTTAGACTTCTGTACAATACTGGGTATAATTACTTGCTTACTGTGTGTTTATTATTTGGGAAAGAAATAGTAAAAATATTTTAAATTTAGTATAAGTAACAAAGTATTTTAGATATAATAAAATACTTAGATTTAAACTGACAAGGTAGGAATTGTCAATTTAAAATTTCTTGGATACATTTAATATGCTGCAATAAAGTTGTATAAAATCAATCTGTCTCTATTTTCAACACATATGCTTACTTTCCTGTCCACCCTCAATTTTTAATGCTGTATTATTCTCAAAATTTTCTTAGACTCAATTTTTTGTTTCTGTTTTATTGGTTTTTGAGACAGAGTTTTGCTATGTAGTTTAGGCTGTCCTTGAACTCGCTGTGTGGCCTAGGCTTGCCTCAAACTCCTGGCAATCCTCTTGCTTCTGCTTCCCAAGTGCTGGAACTACAGGTGTGCACCACCACACCCAGCTTATGCCCAGCTTTTTTTTTTTTTTTTTTTTTTTTTTTAGGGAAGGGTCTACAAGGTATTCAGGGTCTCTTAGATCAAACTCTTAGTGATCTGCCTATTTACAGCCTCCCAAGAGCTGGGATTACAGGTGCACACCACCACGCCCTGTCTCAATTGCCATCTCAGAGTGCCCTAGGGAGCGGGGCTGGCATGGCAGGCCCAGGGATCGAACCCCTGGCCCCTGCAGCTGCTTACAGGTGCTTTAATCCACTGAGCTATTTGGCTAGCCCATACCCAGGTTTTAAGACCTCTTCTTTAATTATTATCTCTTCAGATTCAACTGTTTATGTTCCAACTAAATAGCAATCCATCTCCGCAGAAGGCTGTTTCATACATTAATCAATGTGGAGACGTAGGAGCTGCCCTTCATACCCCAGCTAGACAATACATGTGCCATCGCTGACATGTCACCAAGCACTCTGTCCACCCGCGAATAACAACTCCCAAATTATGGTTTACACTGACCCTGTCTCTACCTTACTGTAGCTACAAGGCAACTCTATATGATTTATTTTTGTTGAAAGAGCAATTAGCATCTCACAGAACAAAATGAGAACTGATGCTCTCCTTGGAGTTTTGTTCACTGCTCATCTTTTCTGGCCAGAATTACCAGTGCTTAAAAATACTGGTTCAGAGCTAGTTCTCTAGTTTTAATAGAAAATTTCTATTGATCTTATTTTCTTTATCTTCTGATATTGAAAAGTATCTTTTATATTCAGCCATTTTCTTTACCGTAACTCTCCAAACAGTTTCTCCTTGAAATACTGATTATAAAATCAGCTTTGATCATTTCAATGTCAAAAAAAGTCCTGTTGGTGAGATTGGACATAGGAGCCAATCAGTTGTTACCCCACCCTTTCATTATGGGGGAAAGGGCTTGCAATTGCTGGCCATGTTTTTCTGCTTCTACTATGCTACGTATTTCTTGCCCACTCTTTTCTTGAGGCTTCTCAGTTCTAGAGTTTTGTTTTGTTTTGGTAAGCAACATATGACCCCCAAATTACTAATGAATGAGAAATATTTTGTCAGAAAGTTCAAATTATCAGTTTTCCTCCACTTGTCCTTCCAAGCACAAAATCAGTTCAGCCACCTGCTGCCATCCATCACAGAGCTTGAGAGAGTCTGTTGGGCAGGGTCAACCACACAGACAGGTTGGAAATAGAGGTGAAGGGGAGTTGGTTCTCGGCATCAGTTAAATGGCTGGACAAAGGAGCTTGATGAGCTGCACCTCATTTCATGAAATGTTTTCAACTAAAGTATCCCATTTCTAATCAAGGTCTGGTTTTCATTGGTGCACATTTGCAGCACGTAATGTTTACATTCCTGTGTGTAGTTGCTGTTGAACTATTTTTTTGCAGAACTAAGACCTTTGTGTGTGTGTGTGTGTGTGTGTGTGTGTGTGTGTATGTGTGTATTTTAGGGAAGGGTCTACAGGGTGTTCAGGGTCTCACTACTAGATAAGATTCGTAGTGATCAGCTGTTTACAGCCTCCCAAGTGGTGGGATTGCAGGGGTGCGCCCCCACACCCAGTCTCAATTGCCATCTCAGTGTGCCCCAGGGCGGGGCCAACATGGCAGGCCCGGGAAGACTAAGATTTTTTTCAAGAAATATTGAAGAATGCACTTTATGCTTGGTCATAAGCTGTCAATTACTGAATTGGCACAAAATGAAGAGTATTTAAAATCTGGTTAATATGTAAAAACAGATAAAAACAATATGACCTAATATATTGGATGAGAAAAAAACCCTAAAATAATTCAATTGAAATATAGTGAAAGTATTTCCTGTACTGTAGGATTTTAAAGAATACAGAAACCCTCCTCTTGTTCTCAGGAGTAAGCCTCAGAGTCACGTGCTCATCATTTCTGCCTGTGTGCCAAAGTTTCCTTTCTTCCTCCCTAACAGGTCAGCCAGTTAAGTTAGGGATAGCTACTCTATGTGTGTAATGTGGTTTTGGGCCATGTTCAAATTATGATCCAACCAAGGTCATCCTGAGTTGCACCAAAACTGGCTCCCAGGCCCTCCTGATCTAATGATTCATAACCCAGTGTAAGTCCCTTTTAAGATCTTTGCCTGCATTGTCTAGTTTTGATTTTCAAAGTGTCAAAACATTGCTGCTATCTGTTTTTTGTTTGTTTGTTTGTTTGTTTGCAAATGAGAAAATTGGACAGGAAGTCATTAAATAAATTTCTTAAAATAGGTTCAGTATCAGTAAACTCACATGTGGTAGACCCAAGACTCAAACCCATGCTTTCTGAATCTAGAACCAATACTCTTAATTTCTACCGTAATATAAGAATCATTTTCATGAAATTTCACAAGTTGAGAGAGAGAGAGAGAGAGAGAGAGAGAGAGAGAGAGAGAGAATAAGATCTCCTGAATGAGTGCCCTTTTATTTTGGTGTTTTGTTTTGTTTGGGTTTTTGTTTTGTTTGTGGTACTTTCCCCTTTTATCTTCACTTGTGTTCAATTTTTTACATTTTTAAGGAAATATAAAATTTTAGGATTTAAACATAATTGCTTACATAAACCTGGAAGTGGCCATAGCAATTAGAATGGCATCACCAGATAGAGCAAATATAAAGACAGTAAAACATAAACTCAAGGAGTTTTGAGCAAGTGAGAAAGGAAAGTTATGTAAGTGGTAAATGAGAATGTGCAGAAAAGATCTCTTGGTACTTAACTGAGTAAGATTATGTCCTTAATTTCCCTTCTTCTTTTTTAAGGGATGGGAGAGACACGGTGAATTCTGCTACAAAATTGACCCAGTCCTGCGAAGCTTTGACCATGCTTCCAGCGGTTATTATTGTCCCCCCGCACTTATAACCATCACAAATAGGTAAACAAAAGTGTTCCAAGGAAACCTGACTATGCTTCAATGAGAGGGCTTTTGGAGGGATAAAATCTAACATCAATAAGAACTTTATCAAAATCTAGAATGTGCTATGTTATAATGAATTTTTAAAGCATTGAGGTGAATTTAAGTTGTCTGATGTTATTCCTAAACTGAGTTTTGAATAACAAATAGTAAAATTTAAGGTGATTTTTACTTTCCTTAAAAATGTATTAATTGTCTGGCTTTGCTAATATAGTCAGTCATATTTAGGTTTTATGTTCTAACTGCTGGTAATGGAAAAGAAATATGTTATTTAACAAGCATTTTAGAAATGTGGGTGAGTTGTATAAGGTACTTTTTGAGGCAGAAAAGGAAGTATAACTAAAATGTGGAGAATATTCGAATGTGCCACCATTTCTTCTTAGTTCTCTTTGCCTTAGATTTAGCTTGAGATTAACTGTGCCCTTGCTCACACGCCACACAATTTGTACTGCAGATGTGTCATAGAAGATAAAGCCACAACAAAGATGACCTCGTCACTATCAGTGGCAAGGACAGTGAGGGTGGGAGACTCCTTTGTGCCTAAGACAGAAGCAGTTAGAAGTCTTCAGTAGGACAGCTAAGCCTGCCACTTTTGTGTCATTGCCTTTCAAAATATCCACTGAAAAGTCAGGTATGCTAATCTTCCTCTTTGGCCCCAGCAGCTTGGAAGAATGAGGCAGGATGATTGCATGAGTGTGAGTTCAAGACCAGCCTGACTCCCAGGCCATGGGACAACTGGTGCTGTGTTTTTAACTGGAGACCTCACCATGCACGTCTGCATCGTAGGATTCCTGAATGCTTTCTCTGGCTCTCCACAATGGAAGGCAACATTCACAGTCATCAGTATTTCTTCTCTCCTCTCATCCTCTTACCTTCCTGCCTTCTTTCCCATTCATTCCTCCAAATAATGCACAGGAATGTACGTGCTTGCACATGAAGGAATTCGTTGACCCACAGGGGATTAGGGTGGCAGCTTTTGGCAGACTCAATGGTCTCCATTAGAGTATAACCATTAGGCCACAACATTAAAGTATCTCAGCGTTGCTTCCAGTTCTGCCTTTCTACCTCCCACATATAGCTACTAGGCAGGAGGAAGCCTATATCCCCTCAACTTACTAGGCTTCTTTAAAGTTTACATAAATACCTTGGGTTAAAAGTTTCCCCAATATTAGACATTGCAGAAGCCTAACCAATGAAACAAAGCTCCTTTATTAATAACTTAAGTGTATTTTACACCGAAGAAAATAACTCTAATTGTTTCATCTATTTTGGTCTCATTCTTCTTTTTTGTTTAATATTCATTGGCTTCCTGTCACATACCTGACATAGTGTGAATTACTTCTCATGCATTATCTGACCATGCAAAAAATTAATAGTCAAGAAATTTTTAGAAAATTACGTATTGAATACATAGTTTGTAAATGGTACCAGAGTAACATGCTCATGCTTTGTATGTACAAAAGAAATAAAAAGTATGTTTTAGCTGCACGATGCTTGCTATAGCATGGAAGTTAAAGAAATAGTACATAAACATGTAAAACAAGTGACAAAAGTAGAATAACACACAAGGAAATGGATAAAGGCACAGTGACATTATGGATTTCTCATAGTGGCAAAGTGACCCAAGCCAAGCTAGAAATCTGTTAAGAGTTCAAATGTTTCATTTTCTACCAGCACTTTGGGGACCTCAAAAATGATAGGAACCATCTGGGGGGAAATCTGTTTCATTTCCCCAAATCTGAGTGTAAGAATATGGTGAAAACATTACTTTTTTAAAAATTAACTACACTCAGTAGCCAACATACAATGTGTTTTCCAGCTCTGAAGCAACACAGTGGCATAGGGAAATTTGTTTTTAATCCCAATTTCAACTGATTAGGACTGCCTGTCTCGGCTTATACTGGCATGCGACCCAGTCACTCACCAAGCTGGCCTGACTCCACAGGAGCAGTAATGTGGCATGTCTCCAAGTCAGTTAGCATCAGATACAATGTCCCAGAAATAGCTTCCTCTAAAGCTGGGACTCTGCCAGCCTCTCAGATGGAGGAAGGGAAGCATCCTGTGCTCTTGACTTTCATTCATTCAGACTCCATCAGAGAAGAAACCTCTCTCTGAGCAAGGATACATCTTGTCACGTTCTCCCACCGTATCTTTTGTGTGGGAAGGCTGGCAGTAGACGGAACACCTCCTTGGACTCAGGAGCATCCCTGAGCAGCCTCAGTAATCACTTTCTTCCATTTCTGATTTCCTGTTTGGGCTAAGGCACTCCTGTCACTCTCCAGCACCCAGGCCTGTAGTTGCTAATTGATTTTCCACTCTTCTGCACAATTGAGTGACAGGTTTGATGGGCAAAATTAGAACCACCTGCTACAAGTTACTGATTTCTTTTGTTACTGGGCAACTGCTCCTGGTCTAAGACTTTAACACTGTGTGAGAAACAAAGGGGAAGGAAAACAGACCCTCCCTGCTGAATGACAGCTAGTCTGTTGTTATAAAACTTTTTCAGACTCTGCCACTTCGCTTTCAGATAGAGTAAGAATACAAATCCAGATTTTCAAAGTTAGCATGGATAACTCTAAACACATGTATATCTAAATCTTGACTCAACCAGCCATGGAATATTCGGTACAAAATAATAAAAATGATATTGATTGTTTGACTTTTGTCCAAAAAGATAAATCTTGCAATAATTTATTTTTCATAGATTTTTTTAAGAAATATTTTTTCTGGATTGAGGACAATTTATTGTTTTTATGTACAGAAAACTCAAGGGTACACTTAGCCCAGTTTAGTGGCAAGCATTTTAGCTTCCTCCAGCTTGGCAATACGAGCTACAGGTTTTGGACCTAGAACGTTGCCTCCTCGGTGATGGCAGATCTCATCATATCTGTCATTGTAGTTGGTCCTGATGGCCTCCACCAGCTTAGGCAGTGCGCCTTTGTCTTCCAAGTTGACTTGCGTGAAGGCGACAGTGGTACAGTTCTTCCTGTGGACCAGATGCCCCAGGCTGGCCTTCCCTTTGATGATGCAGTAAGGGAGCGCCACCTTACGACACAGGGCAGGCAGAAACACAACCAGCTCAGTGGGGTCCATGTCACGTGCAATCACCACGAGCTGAGCCTTCTTGTTCACTACCAGAGTGGTGACAGTGTTGACACCTGCTCTGAGGACCAGTGGCCTCTTAGTTGGGGACCTCCCCTCTGCCAGCAACTTTCTTCTCTCCTTGGGTCAACAGCCTCTGCTTCTTCTCTTGCTTGGTCTCTGGTCTATACTTATGAGCAAGCTTAAGCAGCTGGGTAGCTGTTTGGCTGTCCAAGGCCTGGGTGAACCGGTTAATCACAGGGGACACCTTTTGCCACTTATACAGGATGGACCTCTGTCTCTGCAGCTGCATGTAGTAGGGCCATGTGACAAAGCGGGTGAGGTCTCTCTTGGGCTGGATGTCCTGTCCAATGCCAAAATTCTTTGGTCTCTTCTCAAACAGGGGATTTACCACCTTCTTGGCCTCCTGCTTCTTCACGACAGAAGGGGCCAGGGCCACCTTCTTACCCTTGGCCTTCTTGCCTTTCGGCATCTCGGCTGGCTGTCATAGATTTAAATATGTGTTATTTTTAGGTATTTTTATAGTTTTACCATTTCCTAAAACTGTTATATCCCCCCAAACATATTTGTACTTAACTTTTAAAGACTGCTAAAATATAGATAAAATAAAGTTTACCACTTAAACCTTTTTTTTTTTTTTTTTTTTGGTACAGGAATCCAACTCAGGGTCTTATACTTGTAAGGCAGGCAGCCTGTTGCTGAGCCACATCCTAGAAATGGCCCCTACACCATGTTTAAGTGTTTAGTTCAGTGATTTTACCTGCAGTCACTCTGCTGTGCACTCATGCCCGTTATACATTCCTAGAATTTTTCTTCTTCCCATTCTGAAATCCTGTACTCATTAAATAAAACTTCTAGTACTCCCCTTTCTTCTGCCCCTGTTGGCCATATTCTATTTTCTGTCTATAAGTTTGACTATTCTAAGGACCTCGTATAAGTGAAATCATACAATATTTGTCTGTTTGTGCCTGAATTATTTCACTTAGCATAATAATGTCTCAATGCTTATCCATATTGCAACCTGTCAGAATTTCTCTCCTTTTAAGATCCCAGTGCATGCATGCACCAGATTTTGCTTATCCATTTATCCGTCAATAGGTTTTGGTTTGCTTTCAACATATGACTGTTGTGAATAATGCTACTTCAATCATAATGCACACATTATGTCCCTACTTCTGCTTCTTTGAGTATGATTCAGAAGTAAAATTGCTGGATCATGTTGATAATTCTGATTTTTAACTTTTTGAGGAACTAAAACACTGTTTCCCAAGTGGCTGTGCCATTTTGCTTTCCCAAATGTAGTATGTAAGTGTTCCAACTCCATCTCTATATTCTGACCGATATTCATTATTTCCTGCTTGTCTGCTTTGTTTTTATAATAGCCACCTTACTGGGGGCGTGTTAGCAAGCTTCCCATCACTGTGAAAAATAAAAATGAGAAAGACAACTTAAAATAGGAAAGGTTTACACCAGCTCATTGCTTTGGTCTATGGCCAGATAGCTCCACAGCTTTTAGGTCTGTGGAGAAATAGAACATAGGGAAGGAGGAAAGGGTGACCTCACAATGACCAGGAAATAGAAAGAAACTCAGACAGAAGAAAGGCCTAGGGACAAGATAAAATACCGCATGGCACACCCCAAGGGACCCACTTCTTCCACAAGGCTCCATCTCATACAGTTTCCATTACCTCCCAATAATTAATTAAGTCATCAATAGATTAGTCCATTGATCATGTTGGAGTACTGACCTTAAACTTCCCAAAAACTCCACTTATGAACATTGCTGCATTGAAGACTGACCTTCAATGCACAACTCTCTGGGGGACACTTCACATGCAAACTGTAACACAGTGATTTGTCCTCTCATGATGGCTTTGATTTGCATTTTGCTTAGTGACAAGCAATGGCGAAACCTTTGCACGTGCTTCTTTATAGCTTCTTTATATCATTTTAGAGAAGTGTCCATTTAAGTCTTTTGCCCTGTTTTAGTTGAAGAGTTTCATGTTTAATTCATGTTTCTGTTATTAAATTATAGGAGTGCTTTATGTATTCTGCATTTTGCAGAATACATGATTTCAAATATTTTCTCCCACTTTTTGGGTTCATTTTCACTCTGTTTGCAGTCTCCTTTGATGCACAAAAACTTCTCATTTTGGTGATGCCCAATTTATCCACTTACTTCACTGGCTATGCTTTTGATGTCATATTCAAGGAACTGTTGTCAAATCCAGTAGCATGAAGGTTTTTTCTGTGTTATGTTCTAAGAGTTTAACAGTTTTAGCTTTTATGCTTATGGCATTGGTCTACTTTGAGTGTATTTTTTAAACAGTACAAGTAAAGGGTAGTTCACTGTTTTGCATGCTGATATCCAGGTTTCCTAATATTAATTGTTGAAAAGGTTGACTTTCCCCACTCAGCAATCTGTCACCCCTGTTGGGAATAACAATAGGCTCATTTCTATTTTATTTCATAGACATATATGTTGGTCTTCATACCAGTAGCATACTTTTTATTACTGTAGAGTGTACTAAATATTGAAATCAAGAAATGTGAGGCTCCAACTTTGTTGTTTTTTTACAGCTGTTTTGGTTATTCTGGATCTTCTATGATTTTGATAGGGATTGCAGAGACTAGGTGGATTGCTTTGGGTACTTGGACATCTTAACAATGTTAAGCCTTCTAGTCTATGAACGGGATATCTCTCTATCTGTGTCTTTATTTGAGCTGACTAGCTTGTGGAGCTGCTTCCAATGCATTACTTTTTATTGTTTTGGATGATATAAATGCAGTAATCTTTGTACTGTCTTGTTTTTTTTTTTTTTTTTTCTTTTCTTTTTGCTGTTTCAAGGATTGAACTCAGGACCTTGCACTTACCAAGCAGGTGCTTGTGCTGCTGAGCTATACGCCTGGCCCGCTAAGCACACTGCTGTCATATGCTGACTCCTACAGTGTTCACAGACAGGAAACATCTTTTTTTCAGATATATGTGTCACTGGTTAAACTGACAAGCAAAATACTCACTTAGAGATCAAGTACAAAATCCCTCTTTCTAAAGTGTGTATTTTTTGAAATATAAAACGTTTTTGCTGAAATGATTAAAAGAATGCAATGCATACTAAAATTCATTGCTATCTTAAAATGACATTTTTAAATTAAAATGTAATTTTTGCCATCATGAGCAAATTTTTTGACAAATTTCATCAGAAAGTACAAAATGTATTTTCCTATTCATGCTAAAAAATATACTCTTGGGCTGGGGAGGTAGCTCAGTGGTCTAAGTACCTGCCTGGCAACACAAGGTCCCAAGTTCGACCTCTGGTGCCACCTGCCATGCCACCCGGGAACAGGGCATGGTGGCTCACCCCTGTAATCCCAGCACTAGTGAGGCTGAAACAAGAGGATCACTACCAGTCTGAACTGTATAGCAAGCCCCTGTATCAAAAAAAATAATTAATTTAATTTAATTTAATTTAAATATACTCTTGATTTCTTAACTTTTTAAAGAAGTTAATTGGAAAAGTCAATTTTTTTTTCTGATTCCAAGAATTATTCTCTTATACAGTTTGATTTTGTAAGTAGGTGTACATATACAAATATTACAGCATTTGCCTATTTTTAAAAATAACAAATAATTTTCACTTTATTGAATTCCTTAGAAATAAATACTATTCTGGTACTTATAATAATACAAAGAATATATGTGTGGTTATTTGGTCCTCCTCTATCGGGGGTGGTCGTCCTCTTTGACGGGGCACGCAGCTTCGGGAGGGATGCACATGGATCATTGAAGGAGCAAGGGGACACCCGCCTAGCCAGCCGGATCAGCCGAATCAACCCTGGTGATCAATGGGGTAACAAATGTTACAGCCAGATTGCCCTCACATCCTACATGTGGTTATTTAGGGTTTTTAAATCATAACATTTAAATTCAACAACCCCTGTAAAATACAGACAAAAGACAAGATAATGTAAAACTCTGGAATGATCTCTTATGAATAATTTTGAAATACAGGGCCAGAAATATTTTTTGTTTGTTTGTTTTTGTTTTTTTTTGTGGTACCGGGGATTGAACTTAGGACCCTACACTTGCCAGGAAAGTGCTTATTCTACTGAGCTATCTCTCCAACCCCAGAAAACTTTCAAAAGGTCATCTTCTATACTGCTGTAGGCTAGAGGTTTTGTGACCATTTCAGTCCTTGAAACCAGATAGTGAGTGGTAAAGAATATAGGCTATCCTGTCTTTCTACACCAGCTAGGAATAGCTACTCAAAGATTGTACACTTACCCTTAGTTATTTTAAGTTGTTTGCTTTAGAAGAAAGTCACTTTTGTTAAATTGCTTTGGAGCAGCAATGTCTTCTAAACTAGACCTAGAAAACTATAGTCTTATTTTGATTTAAACGTTTTAGGATTTAATGTACAGATATTTTGGGGAATGCTTAAAAATGTACTTGCCAGAGGACTGGGGAGATGGCTCCATGGAATAATCGTTTCCCTGGGAAGCACAAGGGCCTGAGTTCAATCCCCGGTTCCGAAGGGGGAGGGGAAATTATATATATATATATTTGCCAACTCAGAAAGCAGTTTTCCATTGTTTCAAGCAATGATAAATAGAGATATAATAGCAAACCAGAGTAGACTAAATAAATCTACAACCAGTAGGGGATAAGAGCAACAAGTTGTCATACATAATGATATGCAAAGCCATCTTCACAGACAAGGTCATTTTTTTTAGCATCATCTTATAGATTTCATAGTGTCAGGTAATGAAAGAGCAGTGACCCTCCCTGTGCTCAGCACCACCCATAGTGAGGAGAAGCCCGGCCCTAGCACCAATGGGCCAATGACTGGCTGGCTTCTAGTGCAGGAGCCTTTTAGGCACCAGGTGGGGATAATTATGCTTTGTTGCCTCAAAGGGGATCTGAAAAGCAGGCCATGTATTGTGAGACTATGAACTAATGAAATGTAAGGACAATTACAGGAGCATCTAGGGTGCCTTTGGCCTCTCATACCTTCCTCCTGAAGCACACTTATGTAAGATTCTGCTCCTACCACATGGATGAAAATGAACTTTACTCATTTCAAATGTGTGCTATTTACATTGCTAATAGAGAACTTGTAGAAGGTATTAAAGCATGATAAAACCATGCCCTCTGCAGGTATGAGTGCCATGGATGCCTACAATCACTGTTCTAGAGTTGTTGCTAAGGCATTTCAAATTTTGTCTCTAAGGCATTTGGTTTTTGATTTCTCCTTTGTCAATTCCTTTGAGACTCTTCTATTTTTAAATGATCCCATTGCCTTTGGTACCCTAGCAAGTTAAGAATGCATGATAATTTTTTTAAACCCAAAATTGCAATTTAAAAGTCTAATTTGCTTTCTCCTCCAGGGTTTTGGGTAATTTCATCAGGCCTTCTTTTTTTCCATTGGCTCAGCATATCTGGCCAGAAATCACCACTGAAATTACTTGTAATTTTAGATGTCTTGAAAATATATTTCTCATAATACCTTAATAGTTTCAAACTTAGCTTTAAGTTCAATTTTAGTTAAATTTTAATACCCATAGTTTTCTCATTACATGTGCATGTAGGAGAAAAAGTTCAAGTTTTCTAGATTCTACTTTTGATGTGTTCATGCTGGGAAGGCAGCATTGCCAAGAACCATTGAATGTTGATTCATAAAACTGTTTGGGGAAAATGCTAGTGGGTGCATGCTTTGAATTAAATCCTAGGACTTAAATTCTTCTCCAGTGAGAATGCATATTTGAACACACTTGAATAAGCCAAGGACTCCATGTGCCTGTGAACAAACTGTTTTGGAAGCTCCAGAGTTACTACTCCAATTCCTTCTTACCAAGCAAGTGTGATGAAGGGGTGCGTGTGAGCAGCTCATTCATAAAACCAGAACATCCCTCCTCCTCTTCTCCTCCTCCCTGCCAACCCCTACCCTAAGTGTATTACAGCCTGTTGTGTGGAATCTGGCCTAATTATAAAATTGGCCACGTCACACTAAAAGAAATAAATATATTTCTTACTGTGTGGACATTACCATCTAGCTCTGAAACCAGAGATATCTCTGTTCCTGACAGTTTCAGGAATTAAATGTGTAAGAGTCAAATTCTCTTCACTCATGCATTTCTTGGAATTACTCTGATGCTTGGCATGTAGTAGTAATGGTCAGGGTCTTTGTATATTATTCTGCTCCACATTCTAAAGAATTAACAAGTAATGCAAATCTGGTGCCATTCTTCATACTTCATTATGTTTTAATGATATTTTTATTGCCCTGAAACATAATGCAACCATTTCCTTTTTCTCTTTTCAAGGTTTGAACAGGCATTTATTACCAGTTTGATCAGCAGTGTGGGGAAAATGAAGAACCATTATTTTTGGATAGCTCTCCAAGACCAAAATGACACAGGAGAATACACTTGGAAGACAGCAGGGCAGGAGTCTAAGCTGGTGCAGTACACACACTGGAATGTTCATCAGCCCAGTGAGTAGAGGACATAATAATACTAGCCATCCCTCACTTTGTACTTGTGTTTCCTTAACCCAAAATTCCTTCCACCTCTTAGTCACCTCCTTTGTTTCTTCTCAGATGTTTTCTTAACACCTACATCAGCACAAATGAGCACCACAGGTTTGCAGAAGTAGCATATGGCTGGCCATTTTGTAAAGTATGTGCATCATTTGACATATTCAAGGTACACATTCATTGTTGGGGGTTACACTTGCATTTATTACCAGGAAATCCAGTTTCTTTCTCCTCAAGCCCCACTCCAACTCCCCATCTGCTCCCCGTCAGTATCCAAAATTCCCAGGGGCTTACTCAGTCTAGAATGGTTCCAGTGCACTACCAAAAGGCACATCTGACAAGTTCACAATGACAGCCATGTGGCCACGTTGTGGAATGCTGATCCATCACTGCCATAGCATTCTTGTTGGTCTTTCTCTCGTGTGGAGTACTATAGCTCCTTAGCTGGAATTCCAAGTCAGCAGGAATATTAGTTCATTCTCAGATGCACAGCTTTAGGTCCCAGAGAGTGAAACTATGTGAGGTTGCCCAGTTCCAGAGAAGCTAACAGCTTCTATCACAACCTCTCTGTGTGGAACATGCTTCAGGTGTGTTAAGCTTAGGTTGACAATCGAGACTGAGTGTGCGTCTTTACTTCAGGGTAAGTTCCTGCTTGTATCCCTTAGTCTCTTTCTTGACTGTGGATCTCCATCAGGACCACAGCAATAGACATCAGGCAGTAGATTACCTCTAACGTTGTACCTGGAGGAACAGAGGAGTCTGGTGCTTCCCTCTCAGAAGAACTTCAGCTGTAAGACACTGTGTACTGTATGCTTTTCTGATTAAAGTAAACCCATGTAAATTGTATAGATGCTCTAAACATAGGTAATTACACTAAGAAAAGTGTTGCAAGTTTTTTAGGGCACCCTCCTCTTCAACAAACTTCCTTTCTCACAAATAACCACTGTTAACATTTGGTGTGGTTTCTTTGGTATTTGTATGTGCATAAACATACACACATGCATGTGTAATTTTTTGAATGGAAATAGAGTTGTGTATTTCAGTTATTTGCTTTTTTAACTTAACAATGTGTCTTGGAGAACTTTCCACATTGATATTTATTAATCAATATTTTAAGTATCATATTGGGTGTTAGGTTTTCAATGTATACAGTTTGGAGAGCTATGTACGCTGAAGCGCTAGCAGTAGGAAAGCATGTGATACACGTTGTAAGAAGTACAAATGCAGGGGCCAGGGAGATAGCTCAGTAGAATAAGCGCTTGCCTGGAAAATGCAAGGGCCTGAGTTCAATCCCCGGTTCTGCAAAAAAAAAAAAAGAAGAAGAAGAAGAAGTACAAATGCAGCTGGATATGTTGGCGCACACCTATGATCCCAACACTTCAAGCTTAGGCAAGAAGATTACAAATTCTAATCTGGCCCAGCAATATAGTGACCTAGGGAGACCTTGTCTCAAAATGAAAGACAAAGAAGGGTTGGGGATGTAGCTAACTGCAGTAACCCTAGGTTCAGTCTCTGGTACCTCTAGTACTGCAGGAAAAGGGAAGGAGGAGAAAGAGAGAGGAAGGAGGAACAAATAAAGCACTCTGAGTTAGGAAGGAGGATCAATTCTCCTTGTCGTTATAAAAGCTCAAGGAGGAGGTTGCATTTCATCTGGTATTTAAAATATGCCTGGATTTGGTGGCTATACCAGTAAATAAAGTTTTCTAAGTAAGAATAGACATATGGAGCCAAGGAAAAATTGAGCAACTGTGAGAGATTTTAGCAGCTTCACGTAAGTGGAGGGCAAGATAAATGAAAAAGGGCTATAAAAGGTAAGACCAGAGAGGTATACTGAAAACACAGTTTAAGATTATAAACTAAAGAATATTTATTTCTTCTCTAAGTATGGGAAGCCATTGAAGGTTTTGGGTCAAGAAAGTGTTAGGATCAAATTATTTTTTGTTTTCATTTAAGGTGTTAAGTAGGATAATCCTAATAGAGAAGGAACTGCACTGCAGTGAAAGGTACCCACCCTCCAGTCAGACTCAAATTCAAATCCCAGTTATATGATGCTAGGGAAGTTACTTAAGCTCCCCTGTCTTAGTTACTTTTTCTACTCATTGCTGGGACAATTACACAACACTCCAAATGAAGGAAGGAAAGGTTTATTTAGCGCACAGTTACTGGAGGATTCAGTCCATATTCCTCTGGCTCCAAGGCAAACGACAGCAGTTCATGCTGCAGAAAACAATGAAGAGCAGAGGAGGAGCAGCAGCTGCGGCGTCCATCAAGCCTCTCTTCCTTCTAAGCTACCTGCGAAGACCGGCGTTCCACGGAGAAGATCAGAGCTCCTCCAAAGTGGCACGGCTGCCAAGCTCAAGCTCCTCAGAAGACTGGGACTTCACAGAAGCGGGGCAGGGCGGCAGGAAGCCTTCCTCTGTTCCTGGGTCCTGCCCACCTGCAGGGCTAGGCCTCCACTCTGGGAACTGCCGGAGATGATTCAGCCAAATTGACACAATGTATCAACTAACACAGCCACATATTTATTTTCTCATCATAAGACTAACAGTGCCTACCTCACAGACTTATTAGAATAATTACATGAAATTCTACAAGGTTACTGCTCCCTTATAAATAATAAATATTAGTCTTTCTTATTGAAGGGCAGTAATGGTAGGCATTTGCCTAAAGCTAGATAGAATACGACATGTGATCAAAAATACAGTGATGTTTCCTTTCTTTAACACTGTGTTGTAGCAAGGGACTTTGTTACTAATCCTCCACAGGGTGCTCTCCTTACTTTGAACACAAACACATGTATCCCATTGTTTTTTTTTTCCATAATTTTATTGAGAGACAAATAGCAATGAGACAGTTTCAAATCAATTGGGTAGTACAGTTTCAATAATTAACACATTGCATAATCTCTTCCTAGTGGTTATTTGCTATACAAGATGCAGACATGATATCCTATTTACAAACACTATTACAACAAATCCCTCTATTCCTTAAGAGAATGTAGCTATATATCCATCCTAACCATTTTGAATACACAGATACAAAATGGACATTCATTTATATATCCC